TTGTTGTTGTTGCAGCCATCATTGTTTTGGTGGGTCCGAGCTGTATTCGAACCTGCCACCTTAGGTGTATGTGGCTGGTGCCTTAGCCAGTTGAGCCACAGGCACTGAGCCCTCAAACTCTTGAGCTCAAGCAATTCTCTTGCCCCAGCCTCCCACGCAGCTGGGACCACAAGGCGCCCATCACAATGCCCAGCTATTTTTTTTGTTGTTGCAGTTGTCATTGTTGGTTAGCTGGCCGAGGCTGGGCTCAAACCCGCCACCTTCGGTGTATGTGGCTGGTGCCGTAAGCACTGCTATGGGTGCCAAGCCTGGCTTTTTTTTTTTTTTAAGGTATACAATTTCATATTATATTTCTCTGCTCCAGCCTTAAAATCACCCAGTTTGGCTGGGTGTGGTAGCTCATGCCTATAATCCTAGCACTCTAGGCAGCAGAGGGAGCGGATTGCCTGAGCTCAGGAGTTCAATACAAGCCTGAAGAAGAGTGAGACACCATCTCTAAAAATCGCTGGGCATTGTGGCAGACACCTCCCCATCTACTTGGGAAGCTGAGGCAAAGAGGATCACTTGAGCCAAAGAATTTTAGGTTATTGTAAGCTGTGACACCATGGCACTCTACTGAGGGTGACAAAGTGGAACTACCTCAAAACTAACATCACCCACTTCTCTGGGAGTCCTGGTTTCTTTTATTGAGGAGTGTCATCTGGAAACATTAGATGTGCTTGTTGCTAGAGTAGCAGTTTCTAGGTCTTAGTGGACAAACTGAGAAAACTGTCATCGAAGACCAAGAGGATATCACAACTAAATGTAATGTGGTCTCTGTGATAGGTAGCTTCTAAGATGCCCCTGCACCTGTAGTCCCTACCTACTGTATTCATGGTCTTTTATAATCTCCTCCTTTGGCTGGCATAGTGGATCATGCTTGTAATCCCAGCAGTTTGGGAGGCTGAGGTGGGTGGATAGCTTGAGCTCATGGATTCAAGACCAGCCTGAGCAAAAGCAAGACCCTGTCTCTTAAAAATAGAAAAACTTGGCTCGGCGCCTGTGGCTCAAGCGGCTAAGGCGCCAGCCACATACACCT